TCTACTGTGTCTGTTAGATCAGTAGACTCGGCGCAATATAATTGTTCTTCACGTGCACAGTAGCCTAAATGAAATTTAAAACTGTTAAAAGAAAAGGCTGAATAAACTATTGCAAAGATACTGTATAATACACAGTCAATATTGCTTCCTCACTAAACAGCTGTGCATCTGATTTTTACGATGTTTTTCATGAATGTATAACAACAATACAAAGAGCAATGTGTAACGTTTTACCAGAGATAGTGCTACACTTATATGTCTCTTATTTTTTCCCCACTAAGGAATGTTTTTTTCACTAAATGTTCAGATTTTATAAAATTATTGTGCACTTGTGATTTTTCTAGGCTTAGTTTTTCTGAGTTATCCACTAATCTAGTTTACAATAGCATTTTTGTCATAGGTTATAGTCATATATTTTTTTTTATTTGTTGTTTTTCTATATAATGAAGTTGTCTGTATTAAGAAGATTGTTTAACACACAAAAGAGTGTGGTTTTTAGGGTTTTATTTAGTTATAATAAACAAAAAAATGAAATAATTTTTTTATCCGATTAATCGATTAATCGAAAAAATAATCGTCCGATTAATCGATTATCAAAATAATCGTTAGTTGCAGCCCTACTTGTAACCGTGATAAACACTTAAATATATGTAAATTTAAACTAAGCTTTGGTACCGAAATTGGTACCGAGAACCGTGAATTTTTACTGGTATTGGTACCGAATACTAAAATTTTGGTACCGTGACAACACTACATCACTCAATTAATCACTTAATTATCTCATTAACTTTAACACTCTTGGGTGTGGACTCATATACAGTCCCAGGAGTGTAGTAAATGCCGCCAGAGAATGTCTAATTGAAGAGAATTGGCACTGGCTGGTTACTTCCGGTTTCTGGACTGGCTGCAGTAACACGTCTCTGTCCATGCGGGGGCGCTCGCGGTCGAGTGCAGAATGAATGGGAGTCAATGGGGTTTCACCCCAATAAATCCACTTTTCTCAGGATGTAATTTTTTGTCAAGTAATTTGAAAGTTGCATTCAAAAGGGAGGGCTAAGATAATACACTCAGCTGAAAATTGCACTTTTAAGTTCACTTATCTGTTCTAAAAATCCGTTCAAAAATGTGGTGACGTCACACAATAGCAAAATGCTAGCGTATTCCGGCTAACAACGGCCTAACCTGTAAGAAATCAAAAGGACATAAGTACTCGTTCATTCGACTTTTGGCCTATAATCTATATTGAACTTGCAGAATCAACAATAAAATCTATATTAATTTAACGATAAGCAGGTGAAAGAGACACTTTTAGCCGTTTAGCCCCATAGACTCCCATTCATTCTGCTCTCGCCCGCGATCACCTCCAGTGGAATTCTAATGGAACTGCAACCAAGGTGATACACAATGGGGCTAATAGAAAGTGCCAAGGCTCTCCGTTAGACGGGCTCTGATGCCCGATGATGATGAAACCAATTTTAGCACAACGACAAAGGGATGACTTTAATGATTAAGTTATTTCATACCGTTTCACAACGAAATTCATGCTGTTTCGCTGTCTTCTGAAGTGTCTCCGTCTCTCCGTGCTGCACATAGCTTCACGTGTTAATGTAAACAACTCAGCCAGTGATTGTTAATTGTCATCTAGAGGGCGCTCTCGCTCTTTACAATGCCAGCAGTCTTTAAAGCGCTCTCATACTGTGTACTGACCGTGCACATTTATTTAGCCGCTCCAGCAACAGACGCGACCCGGAAAAACCATTGGTATGGATTTTTGCTGATTACAATAGTTCAACCAATCAACTATCGGTACCAATATATTAAAGCTAATAAAACATGTACATTTAAAACCAGTTAAAGCCGCGGCCACTCTACACTTTGAGCATGTGAAATTTCTGCAGACGCTGCAACAGTTGTAAAATTACGTCACACTCTGTGGCAGCGTTTTTACAAACAAAAATTTAACCTAATGATTCTTACTAGGGCTGGTTGTTAAAGATCCCTAATGTTCAGCCCAACAATTGAATGGAGATGTCATCTTGGGTGGGGTAAACTTTGACACAGAACTCACGGTGCCACCAGTGCGACACAACCTCAGTTGTGTGCCCGACCTCATTGGGTGTTCCGGCCACTTATCACAAGACACCCTCCGCCGGGGTTGGCCCACCACGGGTTGATCAGACCCGGGTGTGTGTCGCACGGTGGTGACACCATGTGATCATTTGGCAGCCCATGTTGCCTCCTTACGTTTCAGCCTCAGCCAGTGACTGCTCCGTTCCTCTGTAGTGGCAAGTTCTTTGATTGCCCTCTGTTGGGGCTGTCCTCTGATCCCTACTTCCTTTAAGAGCCTTGTGGTAGAGCTGGCTACAAAACCCCTGCATCCCACCTCCACTGGCCACACCTTCACATTCCAGCCCCGCCCCTCTGCTTCAGCGGCTAAGTTGGCATATCGCAGCCTCTTCCGTTTGAATGCTTCATCAATGGCATCCGCCCATGGGACAGTCATTTCAACAATGAAGACATGCCGGCAGGACCTGGACCAGAGTGCAAGATCTGGGCTCAAGTTGGTTGCTGCAATTTCGGGTTGAAAGTTGAGCCCAATCCCGGGCTGCGTTCAGTGGGCCAGAGTTTGGGAGTGATGGCTTAATCCCCTGTTTCTCCCCTTCCTGCATGAAGGTTGGTGTCCGTGGGATGGTAGTCTGAGCATTTAGAGGTGTGGTGTTGGTGGTTACCCTCTTGTTCTCAAGTTTGGGAGCCAAGCAACTCAGCACTTGGTTGTGGCACCAGGTGTACCTTCCTTAAGTTAGGCTGGTCTTGCAACCCACCAGGATGTGTTTAAGGGTTGCTGGGGCTGCACACAGGGGACAGGCTGGGTCCTCTCCATATCAGAGATTTAGGTTGGTTGGGGAGGGCAGGACATCGTAAGTAGCTCTGATGATGAAACTTATTAGCCTCCATGCCCCTCATCTCACTCCATGTGATTTTCCTCCTCTCCACGCCATCCCACTTCATCCAGCGGCCTTGCTGGGCTTGGGAGACAGCCTTGGCACACCTGGCTGCTTCCTCTTGGTGGCGCACTACCATGTGCCACCGTTCGGTTAGAGTAGCCTTTTGCCATGTGGGTGTTGCTGCTTCCAATCCAAGGCCCCCTCTGCCATATTGGACATGCCCCACTATATCTCGGTGTCTGAGGCCAGACTTTGCCGTCGCAACCGCTGTCGTCGGCTTCCATTTCCTCCCCGTTGCTAGGGTAGGAGCAGCACCTCTGATGACTGGATCTCAGGATTCTGTCAAGAGTCATTTCCAGCCTTGATTTGGCACATTTGTACTCCTCCACCAGACTTGAGATTGGCAGGGAGATGGCTCCATTGCCATACAGGCCAATGCACCTCAGCAGTCCAAGCCACTTCCTCATTTGTGCATTCACTAATCTCTCCAGTCGAAATGCATGGGAAAGTGTGACCTCATAGATATTGGCAACATGAGACGGGGCAGCAGCCCAAACTGAAAACACCACAGCTTCAGCTTCCCTGGGAGAGCTGTGTTGTTGGTCGTCTTGAGGCCACTGATTGTATCCTGCCTTAGTTGCTCCACCTGCTTCGAGTCTTTGAGTTCTGCGCTATGCCAGCGGCCGAGGCTTTTGATGGGCTTCTCCAGAACTGTTGGTATTGGCTCATTGTTGACCTGGAACCTCTCATTGCTTAGCTGACCCTTGATAATGGAGATACTGCAGTAACTACATAATGATACTACATAATGGATAGTCCAGCCCGCCATTATGCCAATCTCGAGGTGCTGCCATGCAGTTGTACTGGCCTGTGCTGTATATAATAATACTAATAATAATACAAAATGAACTAAATTCAAAATTAACAATCCACTCCACTTGAATGCTAAACGTTTGTGTTATTTCTCATAGTAATTTACTTGAGCTTGTGTGATTGTGAACATACGTATGAATGGAAGTCTATGAAGAAAAAGGCTAGTGTGAATTAAAATGTTTTAGTTAAATATCAATCTCAAAGTTGGTGTCAAAACATGGCATTATTTTATATTTTAATGTTAATATCATGTTAAATAGTTGTGTCTGATCAAACGAATAGTTCTTGTTAAAGAAACAAGCCTGTAATGTTTTAAAAATAATAATCAGTAAAGATAAATTTACCTCATTCATAAAAAGTTTCAAAGATGAAAAATCAATTTATTAAAAGTCATGAAATTATCATAAAATTTTAAAACAGTTGATTACTTTCTACCATTACATCAGGGCTTACTTCAATGTCCTTTCACTATATTTCTCTCTTAGAATTATTTTGATGTACTGAAAATTACATTTTATTTTTTTTCCTTTCATGTCAGGCCTGATGGAGAAGAGTGAAGAACTGAGTGAAGTGAAGGAGGAGAGAGAAGAACTGAGTGAAGTGAAGGATGAGAGAGAAGAACTGAGTGAAGTGAAGGAGGAGAGAGAAGAACTGAGTGAAGTAAAGGAGGAGAGAGAAGAACTGAGTGAAGTGAAGGAGGAGAGAGAAGAACTGAGTGAAGTAAAGGAGGAGAGAGAAGAACTGAGAGAAGTGAAGGAGGAGAGAGAAGAACTGAGTGAAGTGGAGGAGGAGAGTGAAGAACTGAGAGAAGTGAAGGAGGAGAGAGAAGAACTGAGAGAAATGAAGGAGGACAGAGAAGAACTGAGAGAAGTGGAGGAGGAGAGAGAAGAACTGGGTGAAGTGAAGGAGGAGAGTGAAGAACTGAGAGAAGTGAAGGAGGAGAGAGAAGAACTGATGGAAGTGAAGAAGGAGAGAGAAGAACTGAGTGAAGTGAAGGAGGAGAGTGAAGAACTGAGAGAAATGAAGGAGGAGAGAGAAGAACTGAGAGAAGTGAAAGAGGAGAGTGAAGAACTGAGAGAAGTGAAGAAGGAGAGAGAAGAACTGAGTGAATTGAAGGAGGAGAGAGAAGAGCTGAGTGAAGTGAAGGAGGAGAGAGAAGAACTGAGAGAAGTGAAGGAGGAGAGAGAAGAACTGAGTGAAGTGAAGGAGGAGAGAGAAGAGCTGAGTGAAGTGGAGGAGGAACATCATGTCAAACCTGGAGGAAACATGTACATGTGCTTTGAGTGTGGGAAGACTTTCATTTCAGGAAACAGTTTAAAACGGCACCAGAGGATTCACTCTGGAGAAAAACCTTACAAGTGTTCACACTGCGACAAGAGATTCAGTCAGTCATCAAATCTGAAAAAACATGAGATGATCCACACTGGAGAAAAACCTTACAAGTGTTCACACTGTGACAAGAGATTCAATCGATCAACAAATCTGAAAGTACATGAGAGGACCCACAGTAGAAAGAAGCCGCACACATGTGATCAATGTGGAAAGAGTTTTGTGGAAAGAAGTCACCTGAAGCGACACATGAAGATCCACACCGGAGAGAATCTGTTTAAGTGTGATCACGGCGGAAAAACATTTCTTAGGGCATCAGAGCTAAAGACACACCTGAGAGTTCATACGAAGGAGAAGCCGCATTCATGTTCTGTGTGTGGAAAGAGTTTTTCACTGCTGCACAGTTTACATGGACATGAGAAAACTCACACTGGTGTGAGAGAGTACGTGTGCTTTGAGTGTGGGAAGACTTTTGTTTTAGAAAACGGTTTAAAACTGCACCAGAGAATTCACACTGGAGAAAAACCTTACAAGTGTTCACACTGCGACAAGAGATTCAGTCAGTCGACAGATCTGAAAACACATGAGAGGATCCACACTGGAGAAAAACCTTACAAGTGTTCACACTGTGACAAGAGATTCAGTCACTCATCCGATCTAAAAACACATGAGAGGATCCACACTGGAGAAAAACCTTACAAGTGTTCACACTGTGACAAGAGATTCAGTCACTCATCCTATCTAAAAACACATGAGATGATCCACACTGGAGAAAAACCTTACAAGTGTTCACAATGTGACAAGAGATTCAGTCACTCATCCTATCTAAAAACACATGAGAGGATCCACACTGGAGAAAAACCTTACAAGTGTTCACACTGTGACAAGAGATTCAGTCAGTCGACAGATCTGAAAACACATGAGAGGATCCACACTGGAGAAAAACCTTACAAGTGTTCACAATGTGACAAGAGATTCAGTCACTCATCCCATCTAAAAACACATGAGAGGATCCACACTGGAGAAAAACCTTACGAGTGTTCACACTGTGACAAGAGATTCAGTCAGTCATCAACTCTGAAAAAACATGAGATTATCCACACTGGAGAAAAACCTTACAAGTGTTCACACTGCGACAAGAGATTCAGTCTGTCAGCATCTCTGAATACACATGAGAAGATCCACACTGGAGAAAAACCTTACAAGTGTTCACACTGCGACAAGAGATTCAGTGTGTCATCTTCTCTGAAAAAACACGAGAGGATCCACAGCAAAGAGAAACTACACACGTGTGATCAGTGTGGAAAGAGTTTCTCTTTTAAAAGTCACCTGAAGCAACACATGAAGATCCATACAGTGGAGAAACCAGTTAATTCCAGTCTAAGATCACGGTAATTAGTTCATCTTTATGTGCTGAGGAACACAATCTCTTTTGTGTAAGTTAGCCACACCTATAGCCAAATTGGTATATATTGGAATGTAATGTTCGATATTGACATTATAATATTCGTTTTTTTTGGTTTGTTTTTCTGCACACCTGGCATCCCCCTCGAAACGGTTCTCATTCACGCTTGAATATGTTTTAGCCTACACTGTAAAATCTGGTGAAATATAATACTTAAAGGGTTAGTTCACCCATTTAAGACATGAAGTTGAATGCAATCCTTCCCAGCACTATAGTGCATACACACTGGCCCACTCTGTTGTCACCTCCCTGGTCAGAGTTCTGGCCGCTGGAAGTTTTTCAATAAAGTACTCGCAGTTATTTTCCGGGGCCACAAAACGTCTCGGTAACGGATGTAACCCTCGTTCCCTGAGTAGGGAACGGAGACGTTACGTCAGAAGTGACTGAGATTGGGGGTTTCGCATAGAAAGCCAATCCTCTTCGAGTATTTAATCACGAGCCAATGGCATGCAATGCCTTTGGGCTGCGGAAATTTGCATAGCGTACTCCGCCCTACTCCGTGAGTATAAAAGGAGGAAGCGAACGCAACCGCAGTATGTCTTCGCTGAGGAGCCAAGACTGAACTCCGGCGTCTACCCAGCGGTACAGCTGAAGTGGCAGGGAGACGTAACGTCTCCGTTCCCTACTCAGGGAACGAGGGTTACATCCGTAACCGAGACGTTCCCTTTCGTAGTCACTTCGAGTTACGTCAGAAGTGACGGAGATTGGGGGTCAATGCCATCACGCCATCTTACAGCTGTCTTCCAGTGCCCTGCGAAAGTCTAGACCCCTGAACCTGGAGTTAAGCACCAGGAGTCCTACTTTGACACAAGAATACCAAGGTACACTGGGAAACATATCCCGGGAGGGAGATGCTACCAGATGCCTACCGTAGGGAGGACATATGAATACACATATGGCCGCATAGGGACGCATATGGAGATCCCTGGAGCACCAACCGTAGGTGGTTACTAGAAGCTCCAGGGGTGGCAGATGGCTTGCCAAGGGAAGACACATGCTCAGAGAGGCTTTTAGTGGAAAATACACATGAGACAGTTACCATAGGGAACCGTGCACATGGAGGCACCTAGCCAGCATCCAGAGCAACAGTGGTGCCCGCATCCTGGGTGCTGGAGGACTCAAGGCTTCAATGGAAGACTACTAAGGAATATCGCACTTATCCAGTCGAAAGTGGAGTGGCGAGCAAGCGAAGACACCTAAGCGGGTCCAGTACTGGCGGAAGCGAGTACGTGAGAGGACACCGGTTCGACTCGCAGATTGTAGAATCTGGCGAAGGTGTTTGGTGTCGCCCAGTCTGCAGCTCTGCAGATGTCTGTTAGCGAGGCGCCATGCGCTAGAGCCCAAGAGGAGGCCACACTCCGAGTGGAATGGGCCGTCACACCAAGGGGGCACGGACGGCCTTGCTGCTGGTAAGACAAAGCAATGGGGTCCACTATCCAGTGAGACAGCCGTTGCTTTGAGAGAGCCTTTCCCTTCTGGCTCCCCCCATGACAGACAAAGAGCTGGTCTGAGGTCCTGAAACACCGCGTTCTGTCGACGTAGGTGCGAAGTGCACGTACCGGACAGAGCAGTGCCAAGGCTGGGTCTGCCTCCTCCAGGGGCAGCGCTTGCAGGTTCACCACCTGGTCCCGGAAGGGAGTGGTGGGAACCTTGGGCACATATCCAGGCCGGGGTCTCAAGACAATATGAGAGTAAGCCGGCCCGAACTCCAGGCACGCTTCGTCAACGGAGAATGCGTGCAGGTCCCCCACCCTCTTGATGGAGGCCAATGCAACCAGGAGTGCCGTCTTCATAGACAGAAACTTTAACTCTACCGATTGCAAAGGCTCAAAGGGAGGCCTCTGCAGAGCACTTAAAACTACTGAGAGGTCCCAAGAGGGTACGAGGGGAGGACGAGGCGGATTTAGCCTCCTTGCTCCCCTCAGGAACCTGATGAGCAGGTCGTGCTTCCCAATGGACTTACCTTCTACTGCATCATGAGACGCGGCAATGGTCGCGACATAGACCTTAAGGGTGGAGGGCGACAGCCTACGCTCCAACCCCTCCTGCAGAAAGGAAAGCACGACACTGATCGAGCAACTCCGGGGGTCTTCTCCGCGAGAAGAGCACCAAATGACGTAGAGGTTCCACTTCAACGCATAAAGGTGTCTCGTGGACGACGCTCTAGCAGAAGTGATGGTTGCCGCCACCGCAGGTGGCAGCGAACTCAGACTTGCCTCATCCCGTCCAGGAGCCACACGTGTAGCCTCCAAATTTCGGGACGAGGGTGCCACAGAGTGCCCCGTCTCTGAGTGAGTAGATCCTGTCTCAGAGGAATAGGCCAAGGAGGTGCTGTCGCGAGGAGCATGAGTTCGGAGAACCACGTCTTGGTGGGCCAATAAGGGGCTACCAGCAAGACCTGCTCCTCGTCCTCCTTGATCTTGCACATCACCCGTGCATGGAGGCTCACTGGGGGAAACGCATACTTGCGTGGGCCCCGAGGCCAGCTGTGCGCCAGTGCATCTGTGCCGAGCGTGCCCTCGGACAGGGAGTAAAACTGGGTGCAGTGGGATGAGTCCCGGGAGGCAAACATGTCTATCTGAGCCTCCCCGAACTGGTCCCAGATCAGCTGGACCATCTGGGGATGGAGTCGCCATTCGCCGGAGATAGGGTGGATCCGAGACAGCTCGTCGGCTGCCAGGTTCCGGTCTCCTAGAATGTACATAGCACGAAGGGACCTCAGGTGCTTCTGACTCCATAGCAAGAGGTGGCGGGCGAGCTGCGACAACTGGCGCGAGCGTAGACCCCCCTGGTGGTTGATGTACGCTACAGCAGTCGTGTTGTCTGAACGGACAAGTACATGTTGACCCCTGAGCAGTGCTCGAAAGCGGTGCAGGGCCAGGCGTACTGCCAACAGCTCGAGGCAATTGATGTGCATGAGGCGCTGGGGTCCTGTCCAGGAACCCGCGGCTGCATGCCCATTGCACATGGCACCCCAACTCGTGGTGGATGCATCCGTGGAGACAACGAGATGCCTGGAAACTCGCTGGAGCGGGACACCAGCCCGCAAAAAGCTGAGGTTCAACCACGGGGAGAAGGTACGGCGGCACGCTGGAGTCACTGGAACTCAAAGCGAGCCGCGATGCCATGCCCACCTCGGGACTCGATCGCGAAGCCACAGCTGAAGTGGTCTCATATGAAGCAAACCGAGCGGCGTTGCCGCGGCTGCGGATGCCATATGCCCCAGGAGCCTCTGAAAGAGTTTCAGTGGAACCACATTCTTGCCTTCGAACTGTCGAAGACAAGTCAGCAGTGAGTGCACGCGCTCGTTCGTGAGCTGCGCAGACATGGCGACCGAGTCTATCTCCATGCCGAGAAAAGAGATCCTCTGCATGGGGCAAAGTTTGCTCTTCTCCCGGTTGACCCGAAGGCCCAGCCAGGCTAGGTGCCGGAGCACCAGGTCTCTGTGCTCGCAAACCTGTTCTCGAGAGTGTGCCAGAATCAGCCAATCGTCGAGGTAGTTCAGGATGCGAACCCCTTGTTCGCGAAGGGGAACAAGGGCTGCCTCGACAATCTTCGTGAAGACGCGAGGAGACAGAGCTAACCCGAATGGGAGAACCGTGTACTGATATGCCTGGCCTTCGAAGGCAAACCGAAGAAACGGTCTGTGTCGAGGCAATATGGAGACATGAAAGTACGCGTCCTTCAGGTCGATCGCTGCAAACCAATCCTGAGGCCGTATGCATTCGAAAATGCGTTTGGCTGTGAGCATTTTGAACGGTAGCCGGTGAAGAGCACGGTTCAAAATGCGCAGATCCAGGATCGGTCGTAACCCACCGGTCTTCTTGGGGACACTGAAGTAGGGGCTGTAAAACCCGGACCTCACCTCGGCTGGAGGGACCGTCTCGATTGCACCCTTCGCCAGCAGGGTCGCAATCTCCGCTCTCATGACCGGGGCATTGCCACCGACCAAAGTGGAGCGAACTCCCCTGAAACGGGGAGGAGACCGTGCGAACTGAATCGCGTAGCCGAATCTGATCGTTCTTATGACCCAGCGGGACAGCCCGGGGAGCTCTAGCCAGGCTCCCAGGAAGTGAACCAGCGGGGTCATGCGAACCACAGACGTCCCCCCGGAGGGGCAGCGGGGCGGGGAGACTGGCATGCGCTCGGGAGTTACCCCATGCGGATGCACAGTCGAGCCCTGTTCCCCGACAGAAGGGACCAGGGAAGGACCAGCGTCCCACTGGGGTCTGTTCTGTCGGGGTCTGGCGAGAGAGGGGGAGGGGAGGTGCGTAGTCTAGGGACGACACACACTTCCTTCCGCACCCTCAGGGACAGAGAGGAATGAGAGGGTCGCCGCGCTGGGGCGACGAGCGTACTCATTCCAGTCTGATGATGTTAAGTCTTTCTTTAACCAACTCAGGGTGCTGCCCACCCGTGGGAGGGAGGGGAGCCGCAGGGGGGCGTCCTCGGCGGCGAGCAGAGGGAGGCGCCTGGGCCGACGGCTGGGTGGAGGCAGCAGCTGACCGTCGGGGCAGAATATGTTTGATGGCCTCCGTCTGCTTCTGGGTGGTCGAAAACTGCTGGGCAAAGTCTTCAACCGCACCGCCGAACAGGCCAACCTGGGAGAGAGGGGCGTCGAGCAGACGTGTCCGCTCAGCGTCCTTTGTGTCTGCCAGGTTGAGCCATAGGTGGCGCTCCTGGACCACGCTAGTGGCTATCACCTGCTCAACGGAGCGAGCAGCCATTTTCGTCGCCCGGAGGGCGAGGTCAGTGGCCGCTCGCAGCTCATTAAAAGCCGCTGGGTCAGTCCCGCCCTCGTGCATGTCCCTGAGCAGTTTTGCTTGAAACACTTGCAAAGTGCTCATGGCATGCAAAGCAGCGGCTGCCTGTCCCGCCGCTCTATAGGATCGCGCCGCCATAGACGACAAGAACCTACAGGCTTTG